TGAAAGATTGTTGTGCTACTCACAAGCTTAGTTGTGAGAAAAGAGCACACTGACTGGAGGGTAACGGAAACACTTTAGACATTTTCCCCTTAAACTTGGGCTTTCTTGATCCCAGTACAGCTGGCATCAATGGCTTTATCATATACATACTTCATATTTGATTTGGTCTTTTTTTCTATTTTCTTTTTCAGTTTTATTACTACATGGCTGCTCAGTATTCTAGTTGGCAAATTATTAATTCAGCTACAGTTCTACAAAGCAAAATGATCTTTATGAAGCCTTCTTTCACGTCAAGTTGAACTTAACGACTTTTTTGCATTTTATTTATTCTGACTGTATCTTGCACATTGAGTTTATAATTATCTGTCCTTTATATCATTCATTTTGTTACTGCATTTTTTGTTATCTTGGACTTGCTTTATGCTTTGCAATTGTCTACTTGTTTTGATTTAATTGTTGTGAAGGTGTCAATGTGTACTTGATCTGCTTGTGCTGTTCATATGTATTTTTTCAGTAAATTTGTAATTTGTAACTTTACATGAGTCAGAATAAGTCTAATTATTGTATAAAAGTTGAATAAACCTAATTAGTAATTACATATTTTCTGATGTTGTAGCCCCCTCTCTCCAATAACTAATGTGATTCCTCTGTCTCTGGTGCTTCTCCTCTCTCTCATAAAGGAAGCTTTTGAGGACTGGGTGAGAATGCTATTTACTCTCCTTATACATTTACTCTCCAGTCTTCTGGGGCAAGGGGATTGAGCTGTCATCATCTTGTTTTTTTTTTCTCTTGAAATTCAAATTATGGATCTTATATTTTGATACATGATCATGCAAAAAAAGCATTTTAATATGCAGTTTAGTTGGAAGTTTGTCAAAGATTAAAGGTTATCCTTAACAGATGTAGAGAGATTGGACAGCTTTGCTGATTTTTTTATATTTATATTTCTTTGTTGTTTTATTTTCTCTTTTTCTTCACATAGTATCCCTGACATTCCATGTTGTTCCAGCTCTTAATGATTTTATTTTTTTTATGCATAAAAAATAATGTGGTTATGAACTCATTTCTTGAATATATATGAAGGCATCCTTAATTGTATATTGTTCACCTTGTTATATTTGTTTATGGCAGTTGTACTGTGCCTATTCTTATTATTTATTTATTGCTTAAATTGTGTAAAACAGAAGCGTTTTCAAAATGACATGTCTGTAAACAATAATACAATACATGTTTTGCAAGATCAAAAGTGGGTGTCTATACCCTGGAAAAAGTTGCAAGTTGGTGATGTTGTCAAGGTGAGTATGTTATATTTCAATATTTAATTTTGACAAATTTACATTTCGACCTGGTGCTTACATGGGTCTCTTTATGATGGAAATAGGTTGTATGATTTCAAATTTTATGTTGATTATCATGTATTTAGGCTGCAATCTTCCTTCACAGTCACATGTTCAAAATAATGCTATTTGTCCTTCTACATTTAATAAAGTTCTCATTACCTTAATACATTTAGGAGTAATTCCTTTGTATCATCTTTAACCTGTTGGTAGATAACAATGGTTTTTCCAGTTTTGTGTGATTAAATATGAATAAGAATGGTGTCCTATGTCTCATCTATCCTTTCTGTTCTTGCTTGAATGTGATTGCAGCAGTATCGATAGAGTCCATAGAGCAATGTGGTTGGAAATCTTGCTCATATACACTTATGCAATATTTTATTTGTATATCAAAGTGACTGTTTCTGAGTGAATAGAAGTTATTTTTTATGAAACATTTTTCCTTCTGAGCTGAAACATTCTTTCAGACTTATCTTTTTTATCGCTCTTAAGAAAACCAACTGGGGAAATCAACTTATTCTTCTCATGTTAAACAATTATTTTTTGCGAATCTGAGTTTTTAATTGTACTTGTTAGTTTGGTATGGTTTGTAGATGTGTGTAATCTGGGGACCTCTGAAATTTGTTTTCTTGAACTGCTTGTGATGGTTTCATTGTGGCTGTTTCAATTCATGATGCAGATACTTGCTGTAAGTGCAACTTTGTTCTTTGTTGCAGGTTGAGCAAGATGGATTCTTCCCTGCAGATCTGCTTTTCCTGGCTAGTACGAATGTAGATGGTGTCTGCTACATTGAGGTTCATTCATTCATTTCAATTTGAAAAAATGAGTGGTCTTGACATTCTTTAGCAGTTACTGCGGTTTATTAATTCAGATTTTTGGGTGGTAGACTGCTAATTTGGATGGTGAAACCAATTTGAAGATTAGGAAAGCATTGGAGAAGACTTGGGATTACCTGACTCCAGAGAAGGCATCTGAATTTAAAGGTTTAATTTTTTTTATTGATTGACCTATGATTCTTGAGTGCCATCAACCTTCTTTATATGTTGGTGACTAGTGGTGAGTCTGTAGCTGGTAGGCGGAGCTGATCCTGGTTGATGTTTTTGTTGTTTCAGCTACTTGGTATAGTAGCTTTAGATGTATCTTTGTACATTTTGAATCTAATCAGACTTGGACCATGTATATATGTATATTTTAGACATTATATGTATACACTTGCTCCTTTCTATCCGGTTTTCAGGTGTACTGTGTTGTGTGTAGTGACTAGTCGGGTCGTTACGATAAACATACAAGTCATAGAATGAAACTTATGAAGATAAAATTATAATTTATTAAGTATATTTCGTTTACCAATTTTTTTATAGTATGCACGTACAAAAAAATTTAGAGATTTTTCTTATAATATGCACATATCAATATTATTTTTTATAAAGTTTGAGTTTAGTTTATTTATATATTTTTAAGTTTTATATTTATTACTGTAAATGTAATTAATTAGAGAATTAAAAATGAAAATTTATTAAAACGTATTAAAGCCTTTATTTTGATAAGTATTTTATTCCCTTTAATTTTTGAACAGTAAATATTTTTAGGCTTAACTAATTATTTGGTTACTATACTTGCTTTAATATTTTTTCGTGTTAATTTCTATACTTAAAAACTTTTACATTTTAAGACCGTCAATAATAATTTTCCAAAATCAGCTGTACAGGCTTCGAATTATCGCTCTCCACGAATCTTTACCTTTTCTTTAAAGGTGTGATGTATTTCCTTAGTTAGAATATATATAGATAACAATCAAGTATTTTTATACAAGTGCTTAATATGTTAAAATTAAAGTTAAATTATTTGAATAATTTTAAGTTCAATTTTTAACAAAAATAATTATTGATGAAAATTTTACTTACTTTCCACTGTATCAAATTAATATAAGATGAAATCTAAGGTAAAAATAAATATATCAATAACAAATAATAATAATAATAATAATTTCTCCATCACGATGCTATGTTACTCTATATAAGGTCTAGATGTTATCGTTCTTCTCAGAATTCACTCACAAAAGGAAGAAGCATCATGGGTGCCAACTTTTCGACGTATGTTGAAAAATCATCACCCTCATCGTTGATCCTTACCTTCAATTCCACTGCTAAATGGAAGGCTCATTTTGATGCCTCCAAAGAAACTAACAAGCTGGTAACTTTTTACTATAAAACGCGTTGTTAACACTATCAACTGATATCAAATTCTAGGTTTGATTAATTAATTTCATGAGGTCATTAATAACTAATTGCCTTTCTTTCTTCTTTTTTTTTTTTTTTTAATTCGTTAAAGATGGTGATCGACTTCACCGCTACGTGGTGTGGACCTTGCAAGTACATGGACCCAATTATCAAAGAATTTGCTGCAAAATACACGGACGTGGAGTTCATCAAGATAGATGTGGATGAGTTAATGGTATGATATATCTATGCATGCACACGATTCCTTTTATAATATATATATCTATATATATACCTTGATCTTAATTATTTTGTTTAACGAAAACACTTAATTTGATATATACTAATGTATGTGTATAAATGGAAACAGGAGGTGGCACAGGCTTTCCAGGTTCAAGCGATGCCAACATTTATACTAATAAAGAAAGGGAAAGTAGTGGAAAAGGTGATGGGAGCCAAAAAGGAAGAGTTGCAGAAGCTGATTGAGAAACGCAGGAACTGAGTGTGTACTAATAAATCTATGTATCTTGTAGTCGTGATCCATGACTCTGTTACATATAATCCAAGTACTGTAGAAGAAATAAGACCAACTATAATATTGGCTTTGCTGTCTGTGTAATGTGTAGATCTAGATGTACGATATATGTTCAGCATGCAATGCATGCATATGTATTGTAGTTGCTAACTGATATGAAAAAAAATAGATGATGTATATATGTCATCTATCACAAACTATAATATATTATAAAGTATAACCTGGTTGATTTTTATAATGGAAACCATAATTTTGAATTGGTTGATACTGTAAAAGCGGATAACTATTAAATTTTTGTCATATATGTTTTAACCGGTCACTTATGCTTAGGTTTTATAATCATGCACTTTTGGTGTAAAAAAACTTTTATGTTGTTAAATAATGAAAAGTCTTTTAAAATTATTATTAAAGTAAAAAATTTATCATGCATGATAATTTGTGATTGGATGATAATCATAAAATGTTTTACATTGTTGATGCACAACTTTTTTTTTCTTCTTCTTATGTTTAATTAATGAATGAACCATAAATTTCATTGTTAAATTATTATTATTTTTTTTCTCGCTTAGATAGTTCTTAAAGTAAACAAATTATATAAGCAATCATTCAAGTATTATAAATCATACTGAGTGTTTTAAAAAAAATTGAAAATTAAATTATTTTAATAATTAATTATATAAAAATGGAATTTTGCTTGACTAAATTCACTGAAAAATGATTTTAAAATGTTTAATTTCATTTAGATATAATATAAAAAAATAGTTTTTATGTAGTAAATCTTAAAATAATAAAAAAATACTGTTGAAAAATAATCATAAATTTCAAAATTTTAACTTTATAAAAATGAGTTATATTTTTTAAAAAATATTTACAAATTTAAACGGTTGACTTAAACATAGAACTTATTTTACAAATATTTTTATTTATTTATTAAAATCATACATAAGACCATGTTCTCACCTTCACAAGCGTCAACCTTGGGTTTTGATTTCTTGTTGTCTGGGTTTTGTTCATTTTGTAGTCTCATACCTTAAACTTCACCTTTTTTTTTTTTTTAAGAATAAGAAAGATATCAATTTTTTAATTAAGGACTAAATAGGTTGAATTACAAACTCGCACACCAAATTGATTTTACCCTAGCTAGGCAAAATGGATTGACTCGTGTAAACTCATTTAAATGAGTGAAACAAAACTAAATTTAATTTACGCATGCACGAGTCACGGCTCAAAAGGTTAATCCACATACAAGTCATATACCGGACTCTTTAACATTATAAACTTAAAACACTATATTAAATTTTAAAAATAAACATTAATTATAAACTAATGGAAAAATATTATACACTAATATGATAATTTTTTTAATTGGATCATAATCTAATAAAAAATAATTTATTATTTTATTTAAATTTATTAAAAATCACATAAAAATTCAATCCATCCAATCTATTTAAAGTAAAAAATTTATCCAATCTATCCATTAATAAATTTTTTATGAATAGATATCCAATTCATTCATAAAAGTGATATAATTTTTGTAAGTCATTACATTTTTATATAATTTTTTAAAAAAAATTTAAAAAATTATGTCAAAATTGTCTTTTAAAATCTCAATTCAATAAATATCTCATATCATAATCAAATGAATTTTAAAAAGTAGTGGATTGATCATAACCATCTATAAAATTAAATGAATATATTAAATCCGATCCATTGTTTATTTTTATTGTAATGGATAAGTAAGATGAATTTACTTGTGGATGAATTAGATGGATGATGGACAAATGGATTGATTTGTCAACCCTAATACAAGTCACTATGTAAACACCCAATTTTTTCCCTTTTATATTTCTCTACCAAATTTCCTTAATTTTACTCATTTATCATTCATTAATTTCCTTAATTATACACCTCTAACGTTCGATTTAACATTTTTTCTTCTTTTTCATACATATCCTTTATTATTTCTTTTAGTTTTCACATGCATCACTCACTTTACTTCTCACTTATTTCGATAGATAATTTTAATTCTTACACTTTATTACATTACTCTCTTCCTTCCATCCTTTTTATTTTCATACTATTACCACCTCCCTCCCCACTCAAGACATAGAATTAGTCTGCGGCGACATTATAAGTGTGTGTTGCTTCCTCGACAGTATCAAAGATATCGAGCTTAACGTATATGTTTTCTTCAAGCATTTCTTTCCCTTTCACGCTTTCAAAAACACAAACTAAATTTATTGCTCCAAAAAATATCTTTGAAAACATTAATTTTAGTTTTCTAAAAGATACTTTTTGAAATAGTGAAATCAGTATTTTATAGAACTATGTTTTTTATATACTTTCAAAAAGTACTTTTCGGAATATTAAATTTATTGTTCTGCAAAGATTTTTCGAAAGTATGTAAAAAATATAATTCTAAAAAATACTTTTTGGAGCACTAATTTTATTATTTTGAAAAGCACTTTTCGAAATACTAAAATTAATGTTTTGGAAAATGTAACATCCTATAATTTTTTTTATAATTAATAATAATTAATTAGGAAGATAATGATGACTTTATTTTATATGATTAGCCATTTCTATTTTAATAGATTTAATAATTAAAAGGTGAATTTTAAATAATTAAAAATATAGGGGTTTAGAAAAATATGGAGTTATTTATTAGAAGAAAAGCGAAGAAAGGCTCACTTTTGACATCTTCACATTCTCTGACACTCTTGTGCTCTGAAAAAAAGAGCAAGGAGAAGGGATCATCGGAGAGAAGGCAGAGACTTATATCTGATACGTTGCATCACTCTAGGTAAGTGGGGAGTGACAACACTCATCTTTGGAAATTGGGTATATGCATGAAGGGTAGAATGATTGACCCCAAATCTTGTAAGTGTTTTGTTTGATGAAGTTTTGTGTGCCTTTGATGTTGTTTGTCAAGTAGATTCCTTATATGAATTTTATTTAGTGATTTGATACTTTTATAGTAATTAATTGAGTATTATATGAAATGGAAAATGGTTGGAACCCTAAGAGATAAGAATTGATGAATTTTAGGGGTAAGAGTCGTAGATGTTTAATTGGATGGATTCATATTGAATGGTGCATTTTTCGGATTAAAACGAGTTCAGACTCTTTAGAATTTTGTATGATCATTTATTTTTCTTATGACCATAGATTAACATTTATCTTTAAAAAGAATGATGATATAACTATAAGATGAGCTTAGGAAGATTAACTAAATTAGATTATAATTAGAAATAATATAAAAATAATTAAATTAAATTATTTATAATATTTTTATTTATTTAAAATTTAGTATAACATTTTATAGAAGTGGGGTAAGGTTAAAAATATTAAACTAGTTAAATATTGACAGTTATAAATATCATAAAATAATTAACAAGATGCATCTATTTTTTTTGATAACTTATTATATAAGAACTCCATAGTTAAACGTGTTTGATTTGAAACAATTTAGAGATGAGTGACCTTTTGAAAAGTTTTCTAGGAAGTGTGCAAATAAGGTCAAAGCACATTAAAAAGTCTTGTGTTGATTTGTGAGGTCAGTCATTGATCCTAAAAAGAAGATGAATATCATAAAAAGGGTTATCCATAAAAAATTCTGACTAACAAGTGTATAATATCATCCTAAAGTATATCAAATATGAGAAGTATTACAGAAAAATGTATTATTTTATATAATTTCAAAAGGTTCTTTTCCAAATAATAAATTTAATATTTTGAAAATGATTTTCAGAGTTTTAAAAAAAAGTAAAACATTAAAAAAATAGAAAGAAACTAAAGCTATGGCCTACCGACAGACATTGTAATTCTAAACGGTTGGATTATAGAGGACAATTTATAGTGGATAGGCTTTTCTCAAATTTCTCTTCAGCGATGAAGATGAAGCTAGACCGCTGTCATAAAGAAGATGCCTGCCGCAATTCTGCTAGTGAAACTGTGCCTCAGCATATTCATGTTTGACCTTACAAAAGCTTCGCCATTTCAATTTATTCGAAACTTATCCCTCTCATACATAAATTTATGGTCATTAATTTTTTTGTTCTGTCATTTGTGGTTCAGATAACATCGTATTACTTTTCTTTTCCGCGGATTAAAGTATGACATTCGTAATTTGATATGATTTATGGTTGTGCACAATGCTGAGTGGCCTCTGTACCTCGCTCATCAGTGACCATTATCAGGGACGGGTTGTAGATGGATGCCATACCTTAATCATTTATACGTTAGAATACAAATAAAATCTTATATTATTGAAATATATAAAAAATAATAATTTATAAATTATATGTAATTTATATTAATATTAAACCTTTTTTAGTGTTAATCAAAAAGTAAATTTACAAAAGTTTAAGTTTAAAATATATTAAATGGTATTTTTCATCAAATATAGTATAATCTATCTCAAAAATTTGACAAGTACTAAATAGATAGACATCTATTCTCAACTTAAATTTTTTACATTCACAAAAATCAGAATTTGAACTTTGATCGCTTGATCAAGTAGTGTGAGTCCTCGTCACTCTTATCAACCCTAATTGATAATCATAATGACAATTAGTAATGATTATTTTAGATGAAAAAATAAAAACATATTCATGAAATTTAAGCCCAAAATATACATGGTGGAATATAATTTAAATACTAAAAATATTTATTTATTATGAATTTTAGTTATATTATATAAATATTTATCTTATATATATTGCACATAATAAAATTTTAGTTATTAATATACATTCACTTTTTTTTATAAAAAGAACATTGTTAGTAAATTTTAATTTTAATTTTGTTGGAATATAACTATTTTTCTTTTAAAAGTGAATATTCGGCAGTGTGATTGATGTAATGTAGATGTATTTTTAAAGAAGGTTCTGTTGTTCTGCTTACACAATTGGAGAGGTTCTGTGGTTCCGGTGCTGGAAGTGCGCCTAATTTACCATGAACGACATATAAATGAGTCGACCTAAAATGGGTGCTTAAAATTCATGCTTAACTTACGACTAGTACTGTATTGGGGCAATGGTAATTTTTGGGCCTGAGAGATACACACCCCAACTTTGGGCCAATAACAAACAAATTCAAATCATTTAACAAGAATTATACTTTTCATATTATTAAATTTGTTTTGAATATATAATTTTTTGTTAAGCGAGTCAAATTTAAAATTCACCTATAATATTAGTTGAAAAAAAATATTATACTTACATTATCATTTAATCACAAACAAAAGTGATACAAAAACTAACACAAGAAACCAACTCGTAGGCTTGTGAGAGGTACACACTCCCAAACTTTGGGCCGATAAGAAACATGATTTAACATATAATTATATTTTTCCTATTATTAATTTTTTTTGAATAGATTATTGTTAATTTAATATTTTTCATATTATTTTCATGTAGGAAGGAGAATTAAAATACAATTTATATTCACTAGCAATAAAAAAAAATCTTTTACAGAAAAGTAAATGTATTTAATTTAAGTGTATTCATATTGTAAATATTTTTTACACTATTATTTAATTACATATATTGTCATGTATGATAAATTTATTTATTCTTATAATGTATATATATATAGCACAAGTTTTAATTGGTTGATAGTGTAATTTTATTTTTATTTTTGCGGTATATGAAAATATGATTCAAATTAAAATTGAACATTATAATTAGGTAAATGGTAAATATAAATTTAAATAAATAAAATTATAAAGATTTATATAATTCACACGTATAATCATATCTATTCCATGTTAATATATCAAAGTTTACAAATTATTAAATTGGAGCTTGACTCTTTAATTTATTTTGAGTCAGTTTATTTATCTTAAGAAATAAGCCTAATTGAAATTTTTAAAATTAATTTTGAATAATTTATAAAATAAAAATGTATGTTAGCAGTGGTGTGCAAATTGGTACTTAATACTACCAACAACAAAAAAATTACCATATGCTTTATCTCTGTTCAGATGCACACCTTCCTTTTACCATAAACTATTGCTTTAATACTTCTTTTGTTGGTTTATCTTATCCAATAAGTACATTCGTTATCTACTATGAAGCATGAATACCAAAAAAATAGGAGTCATAGTGTCTCGGGTTAGTGTCCACACCTTATAAGTCATCAGTATTGGAGATAATTAATTAATTATGTTTATGAGGATCAATAAAATCTACATGTAGTGTTATACTATACGCAAATGGATATTTATATAACCTAAGATAACAACTTAACCAAAGTTGATATACACGTATGTTTTATTATTAATATGTTATTATTCATTTTGAATCTAAGTTTTTATGATTTTATTTTTAAACTTCATCAAAAAAAAGTCTCTTATCAATGAAGGTTGTGTTTATAAATCCTTTTATTTTATTTTATTATAATTCAATGATGTTAGACTTTATTTGTATTTTTAACAAATCTCTCATCAAATAAATGATCATAGTTTAACCTCTTCTCCAAGGATTTGTTTTTCCTATTTATGAGTATTCATTAGTGATTCTTAGAGTTTTAGTTGCATTTATCAATTCTATATACTTGTATCATCATTAGCTCACACATATCTAGATAAAAACTTGTTAAACAATCAGGATTCACACACATATTTATTAAGTCCAAGCTTTCATAATTTTACTTTTAAACATCATCCAAAAAGTATCTTATCAATAAAGATTATGTGTTTACATTCCAACATAACTCAATTTGCCATTTTTCACAAATAGAAAATCAAGTCTCAACACCTTAATCACTAGAAGACTTTGAAAAATATGCCTTTAAAAACGTCTTTGGGCTTAATTAATTTGAAGAATTGTCCAGCCATCTTGTGTATGTATTGAGTTTCTATTCAATGTATGCGTCTTGCGTCTAATTTATTTTGCAGCAATAGAAAGTGGTGCAGTTAACAAGATCGAATCCGATACGTTTTAAAAATTATATATAAAAGTGATTCCTTCATTTCCTTGTACTTTTCTGGTCCTATAAATGAGGCTTTCTTACAAATCATGTATTCATCCAAAGTAAGAAGTAAGAAGCAAAACCTCTTCTAACTAGAGAGAGAGAGTTGTACAGAAAAAAAAATTTGGTTGTGTGCCACCATATTAAGAAATTAAGGAGCAAGATGGGAGGCAACTTATCCTGCCACATTCTCACCTTCCATTCCGCTGCTAAATGGAAGGCTCACTTTGATGCCTCCAAAGAAACTAATAAGTTGGTATGTTATTACACTTCTAATTAATCATATCCCTTCACTTATTTACCTTTAATTAGATCATGATGAGATATCATGTGTCCCCCATTTTTTACTTGTTTTGCTAAAGATGGTGATCGATTTCACGGCTACATGGTGTGGACCTTGCAAATACATGAACCCAGTTATACAAGAGTTTGCTGCACAGTACACGAACGTGGAATTCATCAAGATTGATGTGGATGAATTGATGGTATATATCTCTTAATATTAAGAACAACACACTATATATACATTGTACATGCATGTAGATATTTATTAAAATCACTGGATCGTATTTCAACAACTGCTTTGGTATGCATTTTTAATTGTAAATAGGGGGTTGCAAAAGAATTCCGGGTGCAAGCAATGCCAACTTGCATATTGATGAAGAAAGGCAAAGTTGTCGATAAGGTGGTGGGAGCTAAAAAGGAAGAGCTACAAAAGCTTATTGAGAAGCATCTGAATTGAGTGTGTGTGTATGATCGACCATATATAAAGGAAGAGGAATAAGGAGAAATATTCTTCAATATCTCCTGCCATTTCCCATTATCATGCCAAATGGTGTGACGTGTGCTTAGATAATTTTCTTGAAGCTCTTTTTAGGGGAAAAAAATGTTTTTGAGGAGTTTATTATTTTAGTGATTGACCGGAAATATTTAAAGTCAGACAAAAAAAAAGAAGCATTTGTGTGTGGCCAAAAGAAAAAGAATTGTCATTTACTTTTTGTGAGAGAAATTAATGCCAGACAAGCCTTGGTTAAGTTCAAAATTATTCTAAAATGATAGTATTTTTTTTTTCTGTTCTTGACAATATTTTAAGTGAAGGATTTTTTTTCAAATATTTGCCATCAATCTGGTGTGAACTGACTGATTTTTCATATTTATAATTAGAGAACCAGTGAGCTACAACTCATATCGATTTAGTTTTTAAGGTTTGGAATTTCTTGCTGATGTGTAGGATTCTTGCCTTCTAAAAAAATTAAAAAAAAATGAAATAGGTTCTGGACAGGACGAGAATCAATCTCTCATGCTTTGTATATTTAAAACTTTAATAGTCACTTAAACTTAACCATCTATTGATTTTGTATCTAACCAAGTGAATCACCAATTCAAGTTTAAAGATATTGGCTAAAAGTAAAAAGTAAAAAAATATATTAAAAGAGATGAAATATTAAGAAAATTCCATAAAGACACCTTCATAAAAATGAATTAACCAAAAACACTTACATTAAAAAATAATCCTTAAAAGTACTTTGAATTTAAGATAACTGATCTATTTTATATAGGGATGAAGTAGTTTGTTTTTATCTATATGATACCATTTAATTTTAGTTTCAATTTTTTTTCATTGATTAATTTTACTCATCATAGAGTATTAATTTTTTTGAAGATATTTTTTGTCATCAGTCAATAAATATGGGACATTTATTTAACTATGCTATCTATGGGATTCATCTTCTATGAAGAAAAACTCACTTAAAAGAGTAAATTAGGTAATATTAGTCGATGATTGAGAATTCAACAATCAATATTATACACACGCATAACAAATTAGTATTTGATATTTATTATATATAATTAAATTTAAAATAAATTATGTATATAAATAATAATAAGTTTAAATCTAAAAATTATACACATAATATAAGATTATTTTTATTTATTAATAATTTATTTTAATATATCAAAATTTAATTTATAAATAATTACAATAAATAAAAATTGAATTAGATATAAAAATACTCAAAGAAATATCAAACCTTATAAATAAAGTACAAATGACTATATTTTATGATAGTGTTTTACTTTATTTATATATAAAGTACAAACGACTTTAATTTTAAGCTGAAAATGCTAAAAAAAAAGAAAAATACCATATCTGAAAAAAAAATGTTTGACCGGAAATCTTTAAAGTCAATATTTTATCATGGGTATATCAGACTTTTATTTTAAGCTATATGCCTATAGTAAAGGCAATTAATATTGAGTTCACCATATCAGAATATGCATGTGTAGAATTCAATAGTGACTTACGTTTTGCTGCATCCATGGCAGTAGAATTTGGTAATCGGTGACAGTAGGAAATATGAATACTTGAATAAGGAAAATGCTCTATCCTCAGCCGAAAAATTGTCCAAAAAATTAAAAAATAATTATTTTATAATAAATTTAATAAAAAATAACAATTTTTTAATATTCGGAGCATTTTTCGATCTCCGTTTTCGGAGGTTGTACCAGTGGTCCTTGAATAAACTTGTGTCAGACAAAGTTGCGTTGCAGAGTTAAAAAGATGAGTTATGCTACACTCTCCGAAAAATTGTCCAAATCGTGTTCCAAATAGATAATATAAGGTTTAAATATGTTTTTAGTTCCTTAAATTTAAAATTATTATTTTTAGTCCTTGTAATTTTAAAAAATTTTATTTTAATTCTTATATTCAAATTTTATTAAAAAATTTATCAAACATTATTGCATAAAATCTACTTATTAGTGTTCCTATTAGTAAAAATATTATATTAAATCTAGTTAATATTGTATAATTGTCTTAATTAGACACTTTTAAATATGTTATTGATAACCTAAGGAATTAAAATAAAATTTTTAAAAATTATATGAACTAAAAATAATAATTTTAAATTTGAGAGATCAAAAAAAAATTTATCTTAAATTTGAAGAATTAAAAACATATTTAAACCTTAAAATAATAATATTTTTTAATAAATTTATTAGAAAATATTTATTTAATTTAATATTTTATAATTTAAATTATTATTTTATTTATTTGGAAAGGATTTCGGCGTTTATCGGAGGCCGAATCATTTTCCTAAAAAGATTCGACAATGACGTACCATTGTACCTCGTTTAAAATACTTTATTAGTAATGTTTCCGTGTTTAATAAATTCGTATACGTGCCTTGTCATAAAGATTATGCTCCCAATACAATTGTGTAACAGCTCAATTTCATTGGTGGTTCCACAAATGTAACGATGACAGGGCCACAAGCTCATTTGATGAAACACGGTTTCACCAGAATCTTATGATGCTGCAACACTTCAACCCAATACTTCTTCTTCATGTTTACTACGGGATTTATACACACTTCTTCATGATCATTTTGGTTTCTTTTCTTTTCGTAAGATTTCTAGGTTCAGATGAATTTAAGCGCGTGATTCTTATACTATGTCACGTTTGCATTGAGCCAAATACAATTTCACGGATGATTTTTCCAGAATTATATTCTTATACCAAACTGCTTTAGGTGTAAAATTTCAGAACAAATTCGTAGCCAAAATTGGTTCTTGAGAATGATCTTTGCCTAACGTTTTTGTGATAGCTAGGTGGGGTTTGCTCAATTTTCATGGCACGAAAATTTACGGGGAGGAGAGAGTGTCGATCTTGTAAGAACTTTGAGATTAAAGGCGAAAGCAATTGGTGAATGATAATTAATTATTTAAGTTTAATGATTAATTAAAAAGAATATAGTATAAGCATTGAGAGTATAAAGTGATTTCAACCATTATTATTCGATCATAAACTATAAAGCATCGTATTACTCGTGTATGTGTTTGTTTTGACTTTTGCCATAATAATTTTTAAAGTAATATCAATCATTTAAAAAAAAAAAACAAACATACTAATTGCTTTTCATTCAAAATAATTTCAGCAATACAAGGAGAGTAGACTAGCAAAAGATATCGAGATTCATACCAGCGTGTGAAAGACAAAGTTGACTTTGTTCTATTTATCATAGTTTCTAATTAATTAAAAATCATCACTTGCTTTGTATAGAAATTAAAATTTTAATTAAATCGAAATATTCATGGTTTATTTATCTGTTTTTTTATTGGCAAAGCTTTTCGGCTTAGTAAGTTTATCAACAATGTTTCCCATGGATTGACAGTTCAGTCCATTTCCTTTTGATTTTTGGACCAATTCTAACATCATAAGGTTTATTAGGTATAATCAATGAAAAACCCGAAATAATTAAAATAATAATAAAGAAAACAACAGAGCTCTTATTAAATTTATTTATATATCACCTTGAATTTTATAGGTTGCGCATGCTCTAAGCAAGAATTTTTTTTTCCCACATTAGCCAATCTTCATCAAAGTAAACTAATTCATGTGTCGGTATAGTTCAAATGCTTCTAAAATCCTGTTGAAAGAAAGCTTATGCCTTATTTGAGAAAAAACAGGAAATTACTTTATTTATTTGATTATTTAACATCATGTCATGCGAACAGCCATATAACTAACTTGAATGGTGCTGGCACCAGCTACAGATTCTGGCACTTATGCTCTCAGAATAATCTTAGTTATCTTCAATGGTCCATCTTATTATAGCTTGCCACTTGAAAGAATATGATTCATTTCATTAAAGATCACATAGTAGTTTCGTATAACTTTATCAATCTCTATATATATGGCAAGTTTCCAACTAGTTTGCCATCATCCAAACCAAAATAAGAAAACTCGTACTCAAACTTATTAGTGCCTCCTACACAAATCAATTTTGGTTTATCATTCCCAGGCAGAAGAAGAAACCAACATGGCACAAAGCATTAATAGTCTTTGGTACTTTGATAGGTCTTCAAAGTCATCATCCAACATCCTTTCCTTCCACTCCACTGCTGAATGGAATGCTCATTTCAAAGCCACCAAAGATACTAACAAGCTGGTATGTGTGTGTATACACTCTTTAACTAGTTACATAATCAACTGGTAAGTGGTAAAGTAGGTTTTCCTGATACAGTTTTTCTTTTGTGTAGATGGTACTTGATTTCACAGCTACATGGTGTGGACCTTGCAAACTAATGGACCCAGTTATCCAAGAGTTTGCTGCAAAATTCACAGATGTTGAGTTCATCAAGATTGATGTGGAGGAGTTAATGGTATGTCACTCATTCCTCTTCAATTTAACAAATTTGTTAGTTATTATAGAAGCCACATAATACATGATATATAAATGCTATTGTTTGTGACAAATGATTTTCAACATTTTAGAACTGATTTGTGTTCATGGTATAAATGATAACAGGAAGTGTCTCAACCACTTCAAGTCCACCAATTGCCAACATTCATACTCGTTAAGAAAGGTAAAGTCACTGATAGAGTGGTGGGAGTAAGAAAGGAGGAGCTGAAAAGATCGATTGAGAAGCACAGAAAATAGATGAATGATCATGCAATTTAATAAAATCAGAAAGGCTCAGCAGCACATTCTGCCTTGACCAATTCAAGAGAAAAAGAAACTACCAACAACACGGATTGCAATAAGTTGGTGTCATCATTTTCTTCCAAAGAAGAAAAATATGACATTCTTTACCATTACAAGTTACAATGTAAAATTTCACATGTACAAGTTGCCCATGTTTCACATACAAGGGCATCCATTAACATCTATCAATATTACTGCCTTCTTTTGGTTTATTTGACTCGTGAAAATCTTCAATTATTCAATTTTATTGTGGGCCAACTATTATAGTTGAATTCTCTCTTACAAGTGAGAAACAACAGAAATAGTACCCTATCTCTCTGCTTAAGAAAAAGGTTCAATAAAATAAAAGGCCAAGTTTGAAAGAGAAATGATGGGAACAAAACGAATGGACATTGATACGCACAAAGATTCTAAATAAGGAAATATCTTTAGATAAGTCAATTTCAAACTAATCACATCATAATAAACAAAACACATGCATTTAACTAAAACCAGTCAATGCACAAATAACCATAGTTCCATTCCCACCCACCCCTTGATTCTAAAAATACCAAAACTGTGCAATATAGTTATATACTTGTTTCCAAAGCTACATCATGCTGCAAATATGGTAGCAACCAGCAACTATGCTAGGTTTATTTGTAATATGCACATAAATCATATCGTTTAGTGGAATCAGGGTTATTTACAGTGTAAACTAATCTCCATGTGAAAGAAGGTTAATGGAAAGTCACGGCTATATTAAACTAAAAATACTAGTTTAGTAATCAGCATCACTCAGAATCCTAGTTATATCACACTTCAGTGGAGAAGCCAGGCTTGATGGAAACACAACATCAAACTTGATTCTGAGGTTCCCTTTCTTGCCAGGTTCCTTTGAGATGGGCATGCCCTCGTTTGGGACCACCAGCTCATAATCTGGTTTCACAATATCAGCGACTTGGATTGTGAGATATCTTCCATCCAAAGTAGTCAAGTTGAGAGTCTTTCCTGTGAGAGCATCTACAAGTGATATCTTCTGGACCACAACTAAATCATTTCCATTCCTCTTGAAAATAGCATGAGGCATCTCCTCCAACACAAGGATTAGATCAGCTGGAGCTCTTCCTAGTGTTTGGTTTCCCTTCCCAGGAAAAGTGATTTTTGTGCCCTTCTTCCAACCAGGTTCAATATCTACCTTCAACATTTCTTCTACACACTTCAACTTACTGCCAAGCGATCCAAATAGCCAACTTCAACATTAAATAAGACTTGCATTCAAACAAACCAATGAAACATATTTTACATAACACAAGCCTGATAGTTAAACAAACAAATTTTCCATTCTCCAATTCTAATTGAAAAATAATACCAACATTGATACTGTATCTAAATTTTGTCTAAAATCACAAGTCTGTATGTGCAACTAACTTAGGGCAAGAATTAGTTAATTACCCAAATTCATCAGGAACTGTTCTCAAGACCTTCATCCACTTTTTGCAACCGTTGTAAAGCTCGAGAAGGGTACACGGCAAGGTGCTCTCAATGACCCCTGCAACCTTTTCATTCCCATTACTATTCTCCTTGTTTAAGCGGCGAGAGTCAAGGGGATAGTGACCAAACAAGTCATATATCTGACGCTTCTTGGGGTCACTCAGCACATCATAGGCCTCACAAAGCTGCTTGAAGTTGGCCTCAAACTCTTCCTTCTTAAGAGGCTCTTCAAGGTTCTTATCAGGGTGCCACTTCTTGGCCAACCTCTTGTAGGCCTTCTTCACCTCCTCATCCGTGGCATCACCCTTCACCTTCAGTATCTTGTAGTAGTCAAGATCACCCATCTCAACACAACACCAACCTCAAAACCAGTGCTTTACGAAGGGAACAAACTCTATATGCTTTTATCACTGACTTTGCGTAAAAGGGTAGGCAGGAAGCAGTAGAGTGAGAGGAAAACACAAACGCGAAAGAGTAGTAGAAAATCACGATTAGGAAGGGATTTATAAGGAGATAAACAAAAACTGAAACCGAGTGATATCACAATAAACAAAATCACCCTATGAAGATTTTTTTAAGCAGATAAAGTGATAAACAACCACTAAAACAGAGTGATGATCACAACAAACAAAATCTCGCTTAGATAAAGTGATAAACAAACACTGAAACAGAAGCATACTTTCAAATTTTGAATTTATTTTTCCGAATTATATAAGAGTTGCTACTTGCTATTGCTGCAGCAAAATGCGTCCAACACACGGATAATGAATAGTACTCATTGATAATGGCAAGTCAAAAAGTAAAATATCTTTGAGTGCAAGAGATAAAAGTTGTGTAATATAATATTTGCTAAAACAAATTATTGTTGAGTATTGTTTGGTTAGAGATTGACGGGATAAACGTAACTTATATTGTTTAAAATTTCCGTAAAAAAATTAACCAATCTACTATTGATTTTTCTTTTTCTTTTCAGCATTGCAGGTTTTGCTTTTTATTTCAGGGAAGCTTCTTCGAAATATTTGTTCTAGCTTTTATGCGTTGAAATCGAATCATTCTTACATATTATCCATATGTATGACTAGGGATGGCAATGGTCCGTCGGAGGGAGTAATATTAAATTCATCCCGGTCTCTTTGGATGAAAGTTGATCTCATATCTACTTTATATCTGTGCAGGTATCCATTAAGCGGATATCCATGAATTTCTTGAATACCCCATGAATATCTATGGATATTTATAAATTTCTTATGAGATTAAAAAAATTATATTACAAATAATTTTAAGTTTATATTTAATGTCATTGAAATATTAAAAATAAAAATTTAAAATTAATTTTGAACTTGTATTTAACGTTAATTTTGTTGAAATAATAATAAAAATGCAAGATAATCAATAACTTAAAATACATCAATCTCACAAGTAAGTGAAAGTCTTATATTACAAAGTTATAATAATTCAATTTCATAATTCTAAACGAAAGTATACAACTTAAAATACATAAATTTTATTGCTCTAATCAAAGCTAGAAATTAATCAAATTTGATCCGACATAATTCTATAACATGCTTAACACATGTTAGTAACTTCATTAACCTCACTTTTGTAAGAAAATAAGATGAGAGAGTGTAGTTTTAGAGTTATGTGGTACAAAGATAATTGGGATATTTAATAAATATTATTAAACGGGTACCTGCAGGTATGGATATTATTATACCCGCCCCCGCCCCGTTTATAAACGGGTAAAAAATTATTCGTCCCCATTATTTGTGGGTACTCAATTAGCTTATTTATTTATTATCCATAACAGATTTTACCCATACATATCCGCATATACGAGTATTTTTGTCATCCCTATCTATAACTATTGTATTTGTATGGGTTATATTTATTCTCGTAGTACATTTGAAATCATAATTTTTAAAAGTTAGTTATTTATATACAATTTTTTTAAAACAAAGTATCAGCTTATTTTTTATTTCTCTTTCTATTTTTATTTTTTGGTATTTTGAACAACTATAATTGTAGTTTTATTTTTTCACTTTTTTCCCTCTTCGCCTTTGATATAAGATAATCTATATTATTTTATTGACCTCAAGGAACTCTTTATCTTTATATTTTACTTAATAAAAATATTTAAAAATTATTAATATTTATTTAATTAATTAGTGTTATACTTGATTTATAAATCTAAAAATTTTAAGTTCGTAATTAATTTTTAATAATATTTTTTATTATTTAAAAATTTAAGAGATAAAATTATCTAAAAGATGTGTACACTAGATCAGACTATATATGTTATAGATATAAAGTGATACAAGATATGTAATTACTTTTGATCTTTACTTTTTTTAGACTATTATATTTTTATATCTATTTTAAATAATTAAATCTTCAAATACAAATCACTTACTATTATGTAATTTCTTTATTTTATTAAATTTTTTTATTTATATTATATCTATAGTTTATAATCTATACCTATATTTATATTTATTTTATAATTTATAACATGTATAAATGCAATAGTATAATTTGGTGTATTCATTTTTTTTTAGACAATTTTATCCTTAAATTTTAAATAAAATAATAATATTAAAAATTAATTATCCTTATGAATACATACCCAATCCTGAAACTTTAAGATTTGAGAATCAAATATAACACTATTGATCCAACAAAAGTTGATAAATTTTAAATACTTATATTAAATAAAATATGGAGACATAAAATGTTTTAACCTCACTAATCAAAGATAAAGAGAATATCATTTTTTTTATTTTTACCTTTCTTAAGACATATTTGTCTTTTAATATCCGTGAATACTCTTATTTATCATTTATATACTTCTCATTTAATAATCACAACTCTTCTTTAATTTGTAAACATAAAATTTTAAACTAAACTAACTCTTTTTGTATTGTATTAGTTGTAATAAAATTGTGTTCATTCTTTTTTTATAAAAAAAAACTTTTTATTTAAATAAAATGCACAAGACACAAAGTGTTTTCATCCCTTAATATATACTAGTAGAGTTGAGATACTTTGTATCTCTAGATTTTATTTAATAAAATATTTAAAAAATTATTAATATTTAGTAGATCAATTAGTGTTTTAAATATGAGACAATCGTCTTTATTATATATTATAGATAAAAAGAAAATGAAAGTTTATCTTATCTCATTATTTCTTAACTCAAATCTACCTTCAAGATAGAAAATATACTATACCATTAACATAAAATAAAAGGTAAGATAACACTGTAATATCTTTTAATGTAGCAACAAACAATATATATAATATATTTTATTATAAAAATCTTATTAATTACAATAGTCATTCATAATGTACAAGGATCGATGATGTTATTATATGATATATTAGATCAATAGCATAAGATAGAGGATAAGATAAATATTACCATATCCTTTATTGCAACAACAAACAATTGACTATAATGTGATAAAATAATTATCCTATGATATATTTTATTATAATTTTTTTTTATTAATTATGTTAACTGTTCATGAATGTACGTACAAGGAATGATATATGAATATGATAATGGCTAAATGTCGATATTACTTATTAAATTTTAAAAAAAATTATTTTATCATATTGACAATGCAATACATACCCAACAAATGTTATGGTTTCCTTGTTTTGTCACTCTCCTATTTAAGATGCATTTTGTTGTTATTTTTGCATAGGTGAGGAGAAGGTTTATATGCTAGGTGGGAACCACCCCGGAGTGCTTAGTGATCTTCAGAATATAAGACCAGTTAAGCATTTACCTGATAATGCATTCGAGTTACTTTGAACCATAAAGACATCATAATTTATGTAATTTCTTGTTGCATAAATTTCTAATCCTTCAGAATCTCACTTATTGTCATCGAGTTTCGTATTTCTAGATTTAAACCATCCATTCGCTGTCATAGACATCCATAACTTGGCCACTTTACTGATAATTCTTGTATAGTAGTTAAATGTAAATAAAATCTTGTAAACTGAGTGTATCTTTTGGAAAGTTCTCAATATATTCGACAGATCAAAAGAGGCAACCAAAGTGTAGAACTATTAGATTGCGTAAGTTTATGAAAAAAAAACAGTAATATGACACTGCATGAATTTGGAGGTAATTTAATGGGACAAGAAAAATGCAGTGTTTTGTATTATGTAAAATTCTTAAATGGCTTTACTCTTTATAATATATATATATATA